GGGGGGGGGGGGGGGGGGGGGGGGGGGGGGGCGTATTCATGACAGAGAGAACTGCCGGGAGACGCCGACGGGATGATCGGGTTGACGCAATGTCATTCTTAATGACGTAAAACACCGTCCCACAACAAGGCTTACCCACAACAAACTGACGATTACCCAAACACGTACTTAACAAAGAATCGTTCCGGTTGTGGCGACGATCGTTGTGCAGGCTGGGGGCTTGCTCGCCGACCAAGGGCGCGCGCTGGGAGGAGCCCGGAGGGGAAGAGGAGACGCCATGGGAGGGGCTGCTATGGGCGCGCTGCGGGGGCTGAGAGGGCTGGGGGCTTCCAACCTTCCGAAGAAAACGGAGAAGACGGTGGCGGCAGCTAGGGAGCTGACCGTCTTTTTGCAGGGCTTTATCGAGCAGGTGGGAGATGAATGACAAGGCGGAAGCGTGCGTTCGGCCAGGAGACAAGCGAGGGAAATGATTTTCTCTGCTCAGCGGGAGCGCTTGGGCCCAACTCCGTCAAAATGAAGCAATTGTGGAGCTTGAGGAATCCGTCGGGCTGAGAGCAAACGCATGAGTTATTTCGGTATATCCCCCTTTTCCCACATTCCTTTTCTTCGGCCTCTTAAAACCCAGTAGGCCTAGGTTAGAGGAGCTTCCTTCCATCTACCGGGCGCTCTATGTACTGCTCACTTTTACACTCCCGTGGCGATCTGGCAACATGGCCAAACCTCAAAACGTACCCCCGTCCTCCGTTGCTAATCGTTTTGCAGAGTTTCACGCGGGAAGAGTTGACTCGGTCGTACAGAGAGCCGTTATGGTGGGATCGACTGATCGGGACCCCGCCAAGCATGCGTCAGGTGTGACGGTGGTGATATCGAAAACGCCTTGTACCTCCCCTTGGCTGGCTGCCAAAAATTCGCGTGCGATAGTGCTGCCCGGTCTCAACAAAACGACCAGGAGACCACCGTTCTGTACCAGTGTGCCACCAAGGTAGCGTTTGTTCCCGTTTCGTGTCCTGCATTGGTTGCTACTCCCTCCCGGGATGCGTCCAAGTAAGCAACTGTGTCGGTGGCGATCATTTTTTTGCTGATACTAGCGCCATTCTTTCTTTCAAGTCCTGGTGATCTATTTTGCTATGTTGTCGGTGGCTACCTCTTTTGTGGTGGAAATCAAATTTCTTCGTCCCAGTTGGCTACCTCACCGTGAGTCTAGATGACTACAGGTTATTGTCTTGTGGATTTGAATCAACCACTACCTCGATCAACGCCCGATCTGTCTTGTTCACAAAGCTCACACTTGTTTGTCCTCAGTTTTCCCAGGATGTACGGTGCTCTCCGTGCCTTCTCCAGAAACTTACAACCTCAAACACGCGGTTGTTGATGTCGCCGTTCTTGTGTCGCTTCACGCGAATCAATTGTTTCGCTGTCCCACATTGTGCCCTCTCTCCGTCTCTGCAGCTGGCTACCTATCCGTGCATCTTGTACCCGGACCACAAGAACTGGTTCACCAACGCGACTTTCCTCGGAATCGAGGTATGACCAAACAAATTAGGCAGCCATCAATGACGGCCTAGACTAAGCTTTGCCCATCTAGCTTCGCCCTCAACTTAATTACGGCGGCGGCATTTTGCAACCGGTTTCGGGCGAACAGTAGTATTCTTGACCGCCGTTCGGTTGAGGTAGCCACGCACGGCACACAACTTGAACACGAAAAATATAAGCTGTAACCACGTTTAAGTAAGCTTCAAATGTGAACTGGGAGAGGGGGAGGGGGTGCGACAAAACGGGGGGCATAGAGGTAGCGGGGTGTGACGCACACGCATTGTGTTGTTGTACTTGTCTGCATCACCCATTCTATTGGCCCCGCAAACATTTCTCCAGTGGCATGGTTCGCGAGGCACCGACCTAAAGCAAGGGGTCTCCAAGTTTTTTGTGATAGAAGAGCGGGTGCCTTCCTGACCATGCCCAAAACATTTAGGGTTTCCCCCGAAGCCTCTCCCTCACCCCCGCCCCACGCCGCCGTCCCTGTCCCCGCCTCTGTCCTCGCCCCGAAACCGTAACTGTCTTCGCCTTCATCTTCGTCTCCATGCCGCCGACATCAATTTACACACACACGTGCGGGTGCTATGATGCCTGGTCTGGAACGGATTACATGGTGCGGTGGGTTTGTTATCCGATGACTTTTCCTCGATCGTCGACTTCGACGAATGTATACAGCTCGACCTCCTTCTGTTAAACATGACGGCTTTCCATCTCTTCGACCAATGGTTCGGTGACCCGACGACTTCTGCGCTTCTCACCTTCCTGCTGGACAGGTAAAAGCTACGGTAGATGTACAGTAACGGTATACAGACGTCTTGGTAGTAATAGCATGTGTGTGTGTCGCCGGTATTATTATAGCGGTTGTACTTGAAGGAGGATCAGGACTTCAGTTCCGTCTTCTCACTCTCCATGTGAGCGCTGACGGAGACGACCTGGTCAAAATCATTGTACCACCAGAGGTAGGCTAAACAGCAACGTGAGTGAGTGCCTCAAAGCCAGAAGCAGTGGACCTGCTCCCGTTATACTTGCTTGTCCTCGTGGATGGAGGGTACGAGGTTGTGTGAGATTCCCGGCACATCCTTTGAGAATGCCCCACAGTCGATGAGATACGCCCCCAAATGGTGTATGTGTTGTAGAGATTTAGGTCAACCTCCTCACCACCAGATGACAGCACTCTGGTGAACGAGCTAACGTCAAATTTTGTAAGTGGAAGATGAACGATGTGTCTGTACATGACATGTCGAACAGAACTACTTCATCTCGTCTTGCCCTGTGCTGTAAGGCAGGTATGCATGCAGGACTTGAATTCGAAGAAAGCAGGAGAAAGAGAAGAAAAACGGATGGGGAAAATGAAAAACGTCATTTTCGTATGAATGACGTACATGACATATAGCCTACCACCAAACCCAAAAACAACAACAAGAGAGAGAACCAAGTACATACACATACACGCTTGAACACGCTGGATGGAAATAAAAATGATGGGAAAAAATTATGCCCTATTAATGGGTGATAGCTAATCAACCCCTGGCGAGACTCGAACTCGCAATCTTCACCTTAGGAGGGTGACGCCTTATCCATTGGGCCACAGGGGCTCGAGCACCTACGCGGATTTGGTAACTATAAATTGTGCCGCCAACCAATATTTTCGGCCAGACCAGTTTTCACGGAGCAAATAGCAATCAGTCCTCATGTTTGCAACACAAGTCTTTCTGATGACTCGTGCTGCACGGCAGACTGATGCCTTCTCAAACACTCCGTGTTCTTGTTGATCAGAAGCAGGAGGGAACACACCGGGGACCCAAGCACCTCGTTTTACCCGCATCTTACACCTCTCTCGGACGATCCATCATGTCTCATCTGCCAGTGTTTCGTATTCTGTCGCTGCTTTCTTGTGAACGTGCAGGCTGGTGCTGGGTGTAAGGGCATACTTTGGCCGCGCGAACGTGTCTCGTAAGACTCTCGTGGACGATCGCTTCTTGCTCTGAGGTGTTGTTATTGCGTGCATTCCAGTCCAGAATAGAGAGTTGCTGTGGACAGAAAGAGACGGCAACACCGCGCCAGGGACGACTCCGCATCCACAGCTGCAGCAGCAGCACAGGGGGCGCACGCACAAGACGCAGGAGAGAACACAACGGCCATCGATGAGAGCGTCTAGTGCGAAGCAAACAGCGATGAAGTCGCGACTATTGTCGTATACCTACAGCAGCCAGTATTACCACGGCGTGCTGTATGTATGTGCCGATATCCGAAAGAAAGACCTTTTACTGCAACTTGGTTTTTGCAGTGTTAATATTTTTTCGAAAGATCGGCGTATCTTTCTTTTTGCTTGGGTGCCCGTGCTCTCGTGCTCGTGCGCGCAGGTTGCGTGGTATCCCCAAAGCTGTGTACACAGGATGTTCTCGAAGATACCACTACATATACTGCTGTATGTGTCACGCATGCCACCCTATGATGGGAGGATGTAGCTACGTGGTCCAAAGTGCGTGCACCTTTTCCGTCGTTGTAGTCTAGTCGATCAGTCAGTCTCGATTTACAGGGTTCGGCGTTCGTTTGGCTGTTTGTGGTGCGGAACCTACCTTACTGCTGTAGACTAGGCAACATGCGTTTTTGACAATGTGTACTTCTATTTGGCAAGCACACTCACCCAACAGATGCATTGGCGAGCATATTGCGCCACTATTGTGCGCGTGCTTGTAGCACACCAGAACGAGCCACCCCCGCCTACTGCTATGCTGCTTCGGCGGAGTGTCTTTTTCGCACAGGGGGGGGATCTTGAGCCTTTGCTTCCCGCCGTTCGGAGGTTGCTAGCTACAGTAGGTGCAGGAATCACCTCGAACATGTTTCAAGAAAACCTCAGCGGTCGGGTGACCAGCTGGACCTCTAACCAAGACAGCCCCGGCGAAAACATAAGTGTTTATTATTATTGGTTCATATTCGTTCGTTCCTCTTGGTGCATTGAAACCGATCTATCAGGCCTAATCGCCACGAGGTACAGCACGCACACGGCACTATTTCATCTTTCTTGGACACGAAATATGACGTCACATTACCCACGTTTACGTTGAGTAGACCCGTCAATCCCTACCCCGTCAGCCATCAGCCTGGGCACAAGAAGCTTGCCCCACGCAACTAATGTCGCAAACGTATTCAGTAATAGGAAAGAACACCAGAGGTCCGGATGCACTTGTCTACAGACACACCAGGGGCGAGCGGTCCCAACAAAATGAAGATTGACGAAGCGATCGCCGTTCGGCTTTTGCACCTATTATATACCTTGTTTCGTCTCATGTACATAGCCTAGGCCATACCACGCTTGGGGCACAACTTCGTGGAAATAACAACACATCAAGGTGGACTCCAATCGGTCATTGCACGATCTGCCAAACACCAGTGTTCCTAACTAAGCGGTTGTCCACGATATGGCACCCCCAGGTACGAACTGGTACTTGGACCAACATGTCCGTACATGGAAGTAGTCCCTCAGTACGAGAGTACCCTAACACCTTATTCCAATCGCTTCGTACTGTCCACATGAACACATGAGCCAATATCTTGTTGTACAAACCACGCGTTACGTATCACCTCCGAATATCAACTTCACTGCACAACAAGAGCTGCCTCTTGACAACTGCACCGCCGGAAACGGCCGACCAGAGCTTTCAAGACAAACCCTATCCGCGGCACGCAGTCCACCCTCCACCAATTCACCGAAAGGCGACGGTCGACTCCCTTAGCCGACACCACATTAGAGCGTGATACGGGCAGGGTCTTGGGTGCTAGACAGAACGCCGGTTCGACATTTGATTCGGCGATCTTCATCGAATGTTCCCACCTCTGCTGGCTGGAAACAGTCATGAAGGGACAGGATTCTCGCAGTACTCGCAGTATACGCAAGAGTTGCTGCTGTCGCTACCGCTGCTGCAGCAGCGTTTTCGGAAGCAGTGGCAGCTTGGAGATGTGAGCCCGGTTTGCTGACACCCAAAGCAGGAGCCTCGCGATCTGTTGCGGAGAGAAGGCGCTCTGCAACCTCTCCATAACCTCCTCAAACTTGGTCGTCTTAGCCTGCGTCAACAGAGGCGGACAGGAATTTGTCAAACGGGTCGAGAGGGAAAACGAGGGGTAGGGACAGAAAAATCGAATGTTGGAAGGACGCCGCCACAAATTTGAACATCGGAATGCAAGAACCAAAAAGTGGCATCAGCATGGTCGGTCCACAGTACGCGACACACGTTTCGGACTTGTGCCATATTTTGGTTACCCCGTATGCACTGAAGTTGGATTCTCCTGGCTTGGTCAGCACGGGGGCCGGCCGCGACGGCTTTCATCACAACAAGGACTGTCTCACGATACCTCAACAACAAAAGGCCCACTGCTTAATGTGTCACAGCTTGCACACATGTTCCAAGAACTTCGACTTTCATGTTAATTACTCGATCAGACGTCCTCAGCACGACGGAAACGCGCCAAGAAAGAAATACGTCCAACGATTTGAAGGTAAGCAACGGAAGGAACGGAGTGAGGGGGGGCGGGAAACCACTTGAAACAGTGATGAACGAAGCACCGGGAGCGATCGCTGGTGCTTCCTCCTCACCTCGCTGGACTTCTGGAGATCACGGACAAGGCGGAGAGACTCCCCAAGTTCGTTGAGTAGGCTTTTTATTCTAGCCCTCCGCTCCTGAATACGCTCGATCTGCTCCTCGCTCACCCTGGGAGCAACAAGAACGGCAGGGTTGCGAATTTGACCACACTTCTCCAATTCATCGCGGGGCATGAATTTCAATTCGGTATAGGCACGTTGGGACAATGCTTAACTGTTGTCTTTTCCGACATTTGCGCAATGGTATCTATCGGCTGTACGAAGAGAACTGTTGTATCCCAGGGGGTGTATTCGTGATAGACTGATCCCCAGGTATCAACTACGTCAAGTGGATGACCAAAGCAGCTTCATACCCCAATTCCGCGCGGAGAATAAGACTGAGGCTGCCCCGCTTCCGGTCCTTGTAGAAGGACTCGTCTTGCTCCAGAGTCCATAGGCTCATCTTGGTCGTGTCTGTGGGCACGATTTGCCTCTCGAGCTGCCTCAGGTGGAACTCGACCTGCGTGGGACGGCACGCAATATGGAAAACGGGTTCGGTCATGACTACAAGTGGAATTCGACCTGTGTTGAACGGCAAACAACACAACTGTTAAGGGCCATGACTACAGAGAGCAGGAGGAGAAACTGAGCAAGCCGCCGCACATATGTTATCGCGTCTGCAAATTAGGAACAACCTGAGATATATGGCACGTGGTACGTGGCGAAAATGAAGCAGAAAAACCAGGGGACAGCTAAGCGGGAAAGCACGGCGGTGGTCGCAAATCTGGTAGCAGCACAAGGGGGTGCGACTTGAAGGTAAGCATCGGGCATGTGTGCATGTCAGCCTTTGTGTACACCCGCACCAGCACGTACAGGAGAACAGTCCTGTTTGTTTGATTCGAGTTTGGTATTCTCTGCCGTGACCAACGCTACGGGCATGCGATGGGCACTGCAAGCATGTCGCCCCAGACAAACTTACTTCTTGCTTCCGCTGCTTGCCGTAGTCGGCATAGAGGTCCTTGAAGCGCGACAGAGCCTCGGCGAGGCTTGCCTGGTTCAAGTCGCTTGGGTGAGAGCGCTGCGCCTCAAGCTTGGCCGCTATCTCCGCCTCCATGAGCTTCTTCTTGCTGGCCATGAGCATGAGCTTATCGTTCACGTTCGATAGCTGCAATACAGCACAATCGACCGACAACGTGGGGCAGGTACAAAACACGCCGTCTAGCCTTCTCTGTTCTCCCGGCAATACTGGTCAATTTGAGCTGATCACCCGTTGGCGCGGTTGATGAAGGTTCACGAAAATTAGCACTCGCGCGCGCGAAAACACACTTTGACGCCTTTCGGTGGACATGGTATGTTCCCGCTCACACTGGCATACTTTCATTGGCCAAGCAGTGAGCGCAGCAGCAGCGGGCAGTTCATAAACCCGAGAAATTGCGACGCCTAACAAAATGTGGGAATCGCATTGCTACGAGTCTGCTAGTAAATATCTGACTGTTGACAGCATGATTAGGCATAGGGAATATGTGACACCTAAAAACGGTGGCGAATGAAGCCGGTGCCATCTCTTTTTCGCCCCCTGCCACGCTGTCAATTGCTAACTTAACACGAACTCAGAGACGAATTTGAAATGCGTTCGTGTTAGAAACAGAAAAAAAACGATAGAAACTCTGTGCCCTGCCCTGCATCAGCGAAAGCGGTGCCCTTGGCGCCCCGTACATTTAAAACTCGTCCTGACCTCTACCAAGCAACTTCATTTACCCCGCATTTTAATCAAAACGACCAGAAGTTTCGTTTTCACAGGCTCAACCAACAACGACCGTGAAAAGTCGCGTCGCTCGCGAAAACAAAAAGTCTCAGCTGACGGTAGGTCATGCTGCCCATTCTCTAGTATGTGCACGTTCTCACGTGGAGTTTCAGTTGGCCGTTGTCCTCCGAAACTTGCTTCACGCGCTCCTACGAAGTCAACAGCAGCAGCCAATGGCGAGCGGGTGGGAAGGGACACGGGTGGGAGGCTGGCAATCAGGAGTTGTCGGGTAGTGCCAGGGGGAACGTCGATCGCGATGTTTATCTCTGGCCGAAAATCGTCACAAAGCTTTGGCTACATCGGCCCAAGAAACATACACAGACTGGTGGTCAAGGAGCGAAAGATGCGGTATCCACTACCTCTCCGTAGAGCTCTATGGTTCTGCGACGCCTTTGCACCTTTGTGTTTCAAACATGCGAACACAACAATCAATCTACCGAACACGGGGTAACCGTGAAGATGCAAGACTATTGCTTATATGACTGTCGAAAACGCATTAAACTGAAACCTCGCTAGGGTGTCGACACTCTGCGTCCTTGTCTTCACAAGACGGCCGATAACAAGGTAACTTGCGTACAACTGGAGAGACTAGCTCCAAAAAATGGCAAATAGTTTACCCCACCAGTTTTGTCTTCGTTGCCCACGACTACCCTTCGACGGGTATTCTGGTGGTCAAAGATACACGACTGGCGGCACATGTAGTATCCGGCTACCACCCAACGCCGGAAGTGGCCATACTTTGGTTTGATAAGTGAGGGCGAATGGTGAAATAAAACAAAGCATCTCCGGGGCCCACGACCTTCTGCTTCAGCTATCCTCAAACATTTTTGTGCGGCGGTGGAGTACCATACAGCAAACAAGCTGACATACCCGGTAATCACATCTTCCGCGTCACCTAGTGTGTAATGCGTGGGGTGCGTGGTATATTCAGTCACCCTATTTATTGACCTGAGTGTACGTGAGCCGTACATAATATCACCCGGCGTGGTATTGTGTGCGGTGTGTGACGTCGTGTGTACTACCCGGTGTGGTCGGAGGGTTAGAAGTGCTGGCCATTTCAACAAGAAGTGCTGGATTACGAGACGTACTGCAACACAAGCTATTCAACACAAGCTATTAATGACAACGTGCTTGCGATGGAGACACCATACGACGGTTCCAGGATGGGCACGCACCTCTAGCTCCCCGAGGGTCATCTTCTTCCGCTTCCGACCGTCTTTGGAAGTGTCACGAGCTCTCGCCTTCGTCTCTTCGGTCTTGGCCGCCTGGGCGGCACCATCAGCCCTGAAATTGTTGAAAAGTAGTTCAAGAAACAGAGCTGGGGTTGTCGGGACACGGGAGCAAAAAATGCGTTCGTACCCCGCGGTGGGTGAGGTTGGAGTTGCGAGTGGCTAAGAACACATGGGCGAGAAAGCTGGTGCCGCCAGGGATGGAAGACCAGAGAAGAACCGCTACGAGACCAGAGAAACCTCTTCAGGAATCGCACCAATTCCGTGCGCTGGAAGTAACACGCAAAACGTTGTCGAAGTACAGGCAACGCGATGGCGAGGGCGTCAACAAAACGGAAACTAGAACCATCACCAAATCACAACAACAATGAGACACATTGAAAGACGTCTGCCGTTCGCAGGTGCCGTCTCTTCGCGTGAGGGATGACCGTCGACTGTACATGCATGCAAGGGACGAGGTGACAACAAGCAAAAAGCAAATTTTACCGTGGTCTCTTCTTCCCCTCCCCGCCGCTGTACGCCCCCGCGTCCACGCCTGCCGCCTGCCACGCCGACCCATTTCCTTTCGGGGACCCCGCTCCCGTCACTCCCGGGGTCTCCACACCGCGGCTACTGCTGTTAGCTTTGTGCGAGGGGGGAACACCTTGGGGATGTTTTTCTGTTTCCAGCCATTGAGGCGGATGCGGGAGCCCCGTCCACGCAGGAAGTCCATCGAGAGGCGGAACGGACGCCGGGGGGCCTGCTGCTGTTGCTGCTGCCATTGCCCCTGCCGCGGGAGGCAGCGCGGCTGGCGGGGCGATCAACGGATGTTGCGCTTGCGTTGACGCTGCCGTAGGTTTCGCTCCTGCCGCGGGCGTACCGCCAATAGCTCCAGCAATCCCTCCGCTTCCCATTGACGCTCCGAAAGGAATAAGGCCGAGATTACCTGTAGAAGCACACGTGTGGGGCCGCGGCCATCATTGCACAAGAAAGGGAGCGGTGGCGAAACAAAAGTTGTGTTATTGACATTTCTCTACGTGCTTAGGGGTTTCAGAGACTGCCTGTCTGCAACAGCGTGTTGAGCAACACGCTACCTCGTTGGCTGAAGTCGCCCGCTTGTGTTCATGTCACGAACGCCCGCCGAAACCGCCGGCAAAACACTGCTAGGCCCTCCAATCCGCCACAAGGCCAGGGTGGACGCTAGGGTTTGGTTTCGGCGAGGTGACAGGTTCAGAAAGTGGGCTACCAAAAAACCTTGTGACTCTCTTGACCTCTCCTTTACCGCCTTGCGACAGGCGCCTCGCCTGAAAAACGCGTGACCTTCTGCTCCTGGTGCAGTGCCGGCCTTTGGGTGCGAGCGAGGGCTCTGGCATGCCGATTAGGGCTGTGTCGCGTAGGACCGTGAAACCGGCTCCGTTTTAGCCCCCCCTCGATTTGGTCAAAATCATGAACACGACCTCTGCGTGGACCTACCTCGACAACTCACCGGACAAGGCCATCCGAGCCCCCATTTGCATCGCCAAGACCGGGTCTGACGGTATCCTCCCGACGGTCGCCAAAGACGAGCTTGGCAACACGCCTTGCTCTGGTGCAGAGCCAATCCCAACCGCTCCTACCCCGAAGGAAGCATCTCCACCAGAGGGGTCTCCCGCGCCCCCTTCCTTGCCGACTCGGTCAGAGTCAGAGGCCGTGGTATCTCTGGTGCTACCACTGCCTCCTGGCGGCCTGATTGCGACAGCAGCAGCAGCAGCAGCCACTATTCCGGTCGTGGGTAGGGTTACTTCGGGTGCTGCCGCTGCTGCAAACATTCCGCAGACAGCGGCCGCAGGACCACCGTCAGCGACAGGGCCAGCAGCAGCCCCACCAACTGCAGCGGCACGAGCAGGAGCAGCAACTTCGGACCCATCGCTGTCGATGACGCAGTCGTCGAGCTTCGGGTCGATGCTGTCCGCGTGCAAAAGGAGCCAGCTCAGAAAGTCATCCGACTGGTTTGAGGTATCGTTGCCGTTGTGTTGCAGGGGGGCGCGCGCGGCCGAAAACACGGAGGGCGTTAGAATACATACGTGAGGGTGCAAAAAGGGCACATGTTGGGCTGAACATCGAAAGCACGCACGGATAGACGATTTCGAGGAACGTGGAGGCATGCTATCAAACAGACTTGCAACACGCGAGGTGAGGGGTCGGGGTGCCGACACTCTTGCCCCGAAAACGCATGCCGGCATGAAGCAAGGTTGATGGAGTTCCTTCCGCAGCCGTGGGGGTGCCTTCCCAGAACAACCCCCCCCCAAGGTCTACGTGAGGCTTCTTCCAGATAGAGCGAGCGAAACATATGTTCGGTTATGACCATCTTGAATGTATTGTCCGATGCGATCCTTGGCATGTGGCTCGGATACCTGTTCCCTGCATAACAAAGTTAGGACACTATTACAGTCCTATGGGGATGGGCGACCCCAGGCGACACACTGATGCAGTCTTGACGACCCAAAGCCTAGATCTACCGGCACAATACCCCAGATTCAATTACGTAGAACGAAAAGTAGTTGTTTTCATCTAGTACGAGGGGAGTTGTATGCGTCCCGTATGTATCCCGTACGCATGACGTTGTTGCGAGAAAATAATGAGCCGCGGAGCGAGCGAGGCGAGCGACCTTTATTCCCTTCTCATCCCCAGGAGGGAAAAAAAGGCTCTAAATATCGGCCTCAGTTCCGCCGCGTGCTGCAGGGGCCCAAAGTTTGACTTCCGTGGCGCATATTCATCGCACCTTTCGGGCCAGAAAGAGGCCGATGCGGCACCGTTTGACGATCTCTTCAATACCGAGCAAGAAGAAAAATTACACGCTCTTCGTCACACCGGTATGGTCGTGCTTCAGCTATCGATGGCCGTGCTTCACAGGCATATGTGGCCCAATTTCGTAGGAGATCGCATCCCCGCATGCCCAGGAGTTGTGGAGGGGTGAAATGCCCGAGCTATCGGAGATTGCACACACACAGAATGTACAGCATATCCACTATGCTATAAGTCAGCTTGAGCATAGTGGATATGCTATACATCTTAACAAAAGCACAAGCGGGGTTCGAATCCCTCGTGGACCACTTGTGACGCCTTTTCCCCGGAAAAGTCTGGGATACGCCTGAGAGACGGTGTACATTCCAGTCGTCTAAGTGGAGACACATATTCCCGCCTGTAATGTAAGTCGATGAACCGCATGGGGCAGCGCTGATTACAGGGATTACAACCCTGAGGTTCACCGAGGTCCAACGGCTCTAACAGGCTGAAGGACCCCGGTTGTACTTTTGTTAAGATGTTATCCACTATGCTACAAGTCAGCGCTGACTTGAACACGCGGTAGAGTTCAAACCCCGGCAGGACAACACCACATCAGCAGAAGGAGAGCAACAGGACGCTGATCCGAGACCAGTCATCAATGATAACCACGAGGAGCCGGGCCTGTACCACCTGTGCGCCGTGGGTATATTCATGCGCCGTGTACCCTGGCGGGTGTTGTTGATGTTGAGTGGTGCAAAACCAACTCCTCCCAAAACAACAGCAGACCGATTATCACAAACGAACAACACACAACATTACACACCTTCCTAAGTACCTTCCGAAGTCCCGAGATCGCACCTACCATCAAGAGGCGTGAGGGGCTACTACTGCTGCTGTGCGTTATCAGGATGGTTCCCCGAGCGATCGATTCAGGTTGCGTAATTTACGCCGCGCTACTGACTGTCTTCGAAAATCCGCGCCCTGCTTGCTGTTGCTGCTCGCATCAAAGTGATGACCATCAACGGCTTTGTTGTTATTGGTGCTGCGTACGTATGTATGTACAGCAGTGGTGATGTCCCGTGATGTATGATACACAATAGGAAGACTGCTTTCACTTGACGAATATGGCGGGCAAGTTGTGAGCCTGACGCAATGTTTGCCATCTGTCCTGTCACAATTCCTATGTCTACGCTGCTAATCGTGCTCCTCGACGGTGTGATGTGTGATGCGCTCGCCGCAGGTGCATGCCGCATGCGTGCCTCCCTGATGTGCGTCTTTGCGTCCGCACAGCGGGAAGACTTCATATTTTGTTTCTTCGTGGGTGTGTGCATGTGCATCAACGGAAAAGAAACAGCTGCATGTGAAGTAAAGTGTCAAGTGCAAAATTTTGAACGGGGCCGCACATACAACCATCGTCGCGCCCGTCGCACCCCTGCAGCCTGTCCCTCTGGTGCACGCGTAGCTGCACCACAAACGATTCACGCTGCTGTGCGTCGGGATTCATGCACCATCAGCATCGCAGATAGACTACTGCAAGGTATCGAGTCATCACCATGCCATATCTAGGTACTCGCGTTGCTGCGAGATTGAATGCATAAATTTAACAAGATCGGTCAAACGACCGAACTGCACGGCAGTACTCTGTAGAAAGTTGCGTATGCATACCGTCAAAGAAAGACTCCCGTTTCAAATGACACCCCGTTCGAAGGGATGTGCTGGAGTCTTTGCGGTGAGGGGTTGGGAAACCTGGTGGCATGAGCCGGATTTTTAGTTGCGCCGCATGACTTTCACCGAGTACATTCCCCCGAGAACATTCACCCAGCAGAACAAGAGTTACTTACAGCAATGATAGTGCCAACAGAACAACCAAAAGCCGAGCACCGGTAGCTAAATACAACTGCACATCCCCTCCCTGTAAGTGCGCGATGTCGAAGAGTGCTATGCTACCTGGTTACTCTAGACCTACTCGAGACTGCTGCTGTTCCGCTGTCGATTTACCGCAGCACATGACAGATCGTATCTCTCACCCTTGCATCATCCTCACTTCCGCCGTCCCCTCCTTCGCCTACAGCTGCAGCGAAATCATCAAAATCGTCCTCAGTCAAAATATCGTCCATCGTATGGTAGCAGTCCCAGTCGCGTGTGGCCAAGCAGACCAGAGAGGCTCTACTCTGGCACTACCGTTGCTTGTTGCTGTGCGCAGTAGCAGCTGAGCCAAAGACTATGACATATAATAACCTTTGAGCTGAGCTGAGCAGTTGGGAGGGGGGACGCAACGTGTACAATCAACGACACGGAACCCCCAGCAGCCAACCTGCCCGGCGAGCTCTCTCAGCTCTGGCAGTGTTCCGTGTGCTGAAAGTGAGTGGGAGCCAATTGACACGGACGGTTGGCGGACGTGCACCACCCTTCCCTGACGTTGAGCAAAAAAAAGGTATTGGAAACTGGCTCTGTTTATTCTGTCTTTTTTCCAAACCAAGTACGGCAGCATCTCCGCGATCTTCAAGAACTAGACTAGCTACATATGCGCAGATACATATGCAAAGCTACCTCTAGTCTAGTAGTATTCGCCGGTTTGTAAGCTGAACACGGCGACTTTAGTCTCAGCAACTCTCGTGGGAGTTCCACGTACCATCTTGAAGAGGGGAATGCATATGCAAAACGGCTTTCGAGAGAGGGCACTTCGCCAACTGGCGGGCAGAATTAGTACATGACTGCTGTAGTCTACGCTGTAGACTGAAGTGACAAGCACTTACAGGTTGAGCACTGCTGTCATCGACACATAGTGCACGCTTGAGTTTACTTTGGTCATCCATGCTAGGCGGTGGTTTTTCGAGCCACCAATTTGCCCGTTACGACCACGGACAGCATTGTTGCAACGTCTTGCTAAATCTGTGAGTCGTCTGTTTTTTGTGTACCACGCCCTCGAAACACTTCGTTCGATAGGTTGTGCCTGCCGCACATGCGATGTGTGCTGGTATCTTGCTGCGGACTCCCCGCAGCCGGCAAAACCACTTTCTGCCGCAGCATCGCCGCCAGTAACAGGTTCCCTACACAAGGAGCAACCGACACAGCGACCGATACACGTGTAGAACGAGACAGTTCGGACTGTGGGCCCATCATCAATGGCGGTCCTCAGATTTGGGTAAGCCACGTTTGCTTCGACGAGTACATTAACAGCGCCCATCGACCGCGGCGGCAGCACAGCCGTAGCAGCAACGACGACGAACCATCCTTCAACGCTCGAATATCTAGCCATCTCTCCCCTGCGAGCGACGTACACCATAAGAAGGATCAGGGGGCAGGCGTTGAGTCAGGAGAAAAGGCGGAACTCAATCTTGGCCGACAAGCAGGCGCTGACGAGCGAGATATGAAGGAGTCAACAACATATCCACAGACGCACGAAGCAACGGGAACATATGCCGTCGAGTCACAGGGAGCGACAGAAACAACACCACATACGTCACTTGCAGAACCTCCAGGCGCTTCAGAGGGCGGCGAGGACGGCGCCAGATGGTGGCACGACGGGCGACGGGCTGCAATGGCCGAGTTAGAGGCGCTAGCGAAGGGGGCGGAGTCAGGGGCGAGGGCAGGACCCAAAACCGCGGTAATCTCTGGCGGGACGGTTTCTTCCGCTTGCGCAATGCCACCGGCGATGCTTTCGGAGGAAATGAGAGAAGGTGTCACTAATAGGGCTAGACTGTCGACGCAAGAGGCGAGTACTTCTGCCGATTCCCCCAAGCGGACAGAGGCGGTGCATGTGGTGCTTGCGGACGACAACATGCACTTCCGAAGCATGCGGCACGAAGTATTCCGCCTGGCTAGACAATGTGCGTGCGAATTTGTGACGGATCATGGAAGGCATAGACTGGACTTGTGAGATGATGTTCTCCTGCTAATGTCGAAGTGTAAACGAAACTCCAACACGTCTCTGACAGCGTTAGACTTTGGTCTCTGCTCGATTCGTAAACGCCGCACCCGGCTTTCGTCAATCAAGATGACCCGCGGATCTGTTGTTTTACAGTGTCAGACCGAACGCGGGTAACTGACGACCTAACAGCTCATACTATGACACGCCCTTGTTTGTCTTGCCGGCAGATGGGTGCGGTTATGCGCAGGTTTTCTTTCCCACGGATGTGGAAATCGCAGTGAAGAGAAACACGGCGAGGGGAACGTCAGTCTCTGAGGCGGTAAGGCTGCAAGCCGCGATCGTTGCAGGCTCGAAACGATTCCATCGGACCGTTTTCATGCCGCGTGGGATGATCGAATGTTTTCGTATGGAGGAACTATTTGTAGTGCGGTTCCATGCCATACGACAGCAGTGTGCACCTCAGAGAGACACCCCGGGTATACATGTCCCTGACCGTAAAACGTTTTGCTGAACAACACCTTTTCATGGTCCTTATTCTTGTTTCCAAGATCAAATCATTGCTCTGCTCTTCCGCCTGGTTTGTCTACCTCCACGTCCCGTAGGTTATCCGAAAAATGGCCGCGAACATCCAACCTCCGGACCCCAAGCGTTTCAAGTGGGAACGCCACACCGTGGTTGTCAGCTCTCCATCGGGATCTCGCTCTCCGCAAGAAGGAACAGAAATGGTGCCACCACTGAAGCCCCATCGAACACCACCGGATACTGCTAACTTGTATCGAAATCCGCCTCGTGGCAGCAGTCGTGCCAAGATACTCAGCCCTTCGGGAGGGGACTTCGATGCGGGTGACAACGTCAGTAAGGTGGCGGAAGGTTCCACGACTGTCGTTCACTCGCAACGGAGGTTTTGGTGCGTCATAGCCACCGCCGCGGGCGAAGATCCAAAGCCACTTGCTTCGGATTCTGCCTCACGTGTTTTGGACAAGGTGAACAATTGTGCCGCTGGCTATGAACATGACCAGCCTGCAAGAGTGCAGTCTAATGTGTTCAATGTCCTTTTGCTTTCGTCCTTACACGCACGTCATTGTTTCAGCAGAGCTTTGTTTCAGCAGAGCTTTTGGGAGTTCGCAAGCTGCTTGTTTGCAAAGTTACCTGGCATTTCTCTTGGCGGTGTAGGGCGTAGGTTCCGTTAAGAGCATCTGCCTTGAAGCTTTTCCTATGAAGAGTCTGCTTGGAAGGTGGTTACAGCGTCGCGGGGCGGCCTTCCTTCTCCGTCCTCGTTGGTGAACGTGATTAGAAACCTCTCAGCGTGCAGAGCACCCACCCCATGCTGTTGTTTTTCCTGTGTCGTGTCGAGGGGTGCGATCCTTTGTCAACGATACGGACGCTGTAGGAAGCCCCTGAAATGCTCCAACGACCACTTTGTGCTCGAACGTATGTATTTGCACTATGTACGCTGACCAACCAGGAAGCGGACAGAGAGGCGACGAAGGCGAGCGTTATGCACCAGTACGACCTTCACCTGCGCGAGGTGCGTTCTCTTCAATATATATATTTTATGGCGCCACTCTGGTTGCAGAGACACCGAACATGCCCCGGCCGGAAAGTTTGTTTTCGCACAACACGTCCTCTTTCCCACGCGTGTGGTGCAGCTTCGTTGGGTTAAATATTGCTAGCTTGTGACAATGGTTTTGGAGAGCATGGGAGGAAATGTTTGGTCCAGACCGTACCGGCTTTTAGGGGTAAACAAAACACAACATGTGGTATGATCCACGCCCAACACGTTTTCCACCCACGTTTTCGGGTGAAAGCTTCGGACCAGAACCTATTCAACCGATGAACTGGGCACTTTAGTGAGCGCCAAGATAGACGCAGCACGACCTTTCGAGCAAAAGCTATAAGCTCTCTTACGATAGAATCAAGTCGTCACCAAGTGCTACACTCAACGTGATTGCGTGCACAGGTCTGGGGCAACCCTACACTTGTGATAAATACGGAGTATAAACATATCGAACATACTTTTTTTTCGTTTTCTCCGACGAGGGCGGAAATGGAAGGTCCTGGAGGTGAAATTATGAAATCGTTTGTAGCACTCTATTGTGTTGTTTCTTTTTCCTTCCAGGAACAACCGACCTGAACCTTTGTTCTTTTTAGTTGTCAGAATCTCCTTGACTTTGATTCTTGTTCGAACCCAGAAAATGATTCGAATTGGCAAAGTGATGGTGCTGGACAAATCCGTTGAGGTATTGGTAGCAAGCGAGCACCAATTCTTCGAAGATTGAGATAAGGCCAAAAAATATCCCGCCGTCAGAACGTGTGCTGGGATGGAATGTAAAGGTAATTTCCACTTCTGAGCGAGCGACAACTCTACAAGGAGATACAAACTCTCCGTGGCTGGTGACATGGCCCATTGACTAATGGTCTACCAACAGAATGACAGTCAGTGTTTACCCACCATGCGGGTCATCGAGAGTTATAGGTATACGTATGACCATGCAAAGAGCGAATCATCCGTTCTCCTCCACTCCGTGCTGTTGAAAACCCTAGGCGGTCAAGCGCGTGGCCGAAGCAGCCGCCGGCGCTGGCCTTTCCCGTGATGTTCATCGCGTGGTGATGAAGGCATGCTCGGCGTCAAGAAAACATGCGATACGCCGCGCAAGATCCACCGCCGACCAACGCAGCGTGAGCACGTCCAATCAAAGCACCGCCGGGAACGTCGCGGTTTGCCACGACAGCTATCAAGGTTGCACGGCGGGTGGTGGTGACGGGTGTCCGACATCCGGGTCCCTATCTGATACGGACCCCTTCGCTCGCGAGTTCGAGAATGCCCTGGGTACTATCGACGTGGCGGAATCGGTCAAAGTGCAACTCGTCGTGGCTGCAGAGGGTGTTGCGAGAAACTCCTTTCGACTATTTTGACATGCAGGGTACCCATGGATTTGGTGAAAGAACTGACGAATTCGTGCACCTCAAACGAAATCGTCTCACATGCTGGAGATGGTGCTGAAAGGAGTTGTGGAGTACTGCCGAATCCGCCTGTTTGTCCGAAAGCGCCTCACCAGACTGGGATCCTTGCAAATACAATGGACATTGTTAAAAATACAGTACATATATTGTAACTTAGCAGACCACGCGCTGGGGAGGGGGGGGGGTCCGGGGGAGGGTTTACCCCCCCCC